CAGAATACATGATGAGCTGTATTGGATTTTTAATGGATTTCTGTCCATCTGAGAGAACATCAGCTGATTTAAACCTGCAGCACGTTACAGGAAAACATTCTGCTCACTGTAGGGACTGACCACAACACCTTTCAAATCTTTACAAAATAACCTGCGTAGTTTCCTCCACATGTCCCACTACATTATGTTCTGCTAATGTCACACAGTAGGTCCATTCTGCAGAGTAGAATGATCTGCTGTACCTCACTATCATTCTGCTATGGAGGAAAATACACGATGGTTTCTTGGCACTTTCTATCAACCAATCACAGTTATCAGGGGCGGAGCTAAGGGAAGGAATCAGTGATGATGTTCCTCAAAGCAGTGACGGAGGAGCTGTTCTGGTGAAGCGTTTGCTGCAGGAACATGAGAACTGTGATTAAAATGTAAAATTCACTCAAAAAACAACCTGAGCTGCCCGACTGCACGAAGCAAACCTTTGAAAAACTTTCTGCTGCTCGCCGCTTGTTTCCTGTAATAACGATTCAGAAAACAGTGAACAGACAGCAGAAGAGGAGGAACGTCAGCAGTCAGTGAGGCTGTTTATAAAACAGTCAAAGTTGACAGAAAAATGTAATACATTTTTGCATTACAACTTTGTTTTTCCTCTTCTGGCTCCCATTAACCCTCTGATGACTCCTTACGTTAATCAGGTGACCCTTTAGAGGAACCCAACCCAGAAGTTGGACCACTGGACTGAACATAAAGTAGTTCAAACAGCTTTGACAGGAAAACACTTATCAATACTCTGATCAATTCCAGGTAGGGAGGTTCTGATCCAATCTCAAAGAGGCCAAATGCTAGGGATGCCAGTTTAGAATAAAGTTCTTAATCAATAATCTATAGGGTTTATGATCAGAAGCGGATTAACTGATTACACAAACTGATCACAGAGTTCATGTCTTCTGTGCTGATGTTTCAAACTCCTGGGTTGTTCCTCAATCAGTTCAGTTCCATCTGCTACTGTGAATCAGGAACTCTATTCTGGCTGATCCCAGTTTGTCTCGAACATCTGAGCTCTGGTTGGAGCTCATCAACCTCCTCAGAGTCTCTGTCATGGTCCTGTTGCTGCTAAACTCCCACAATGCTCTCTGCTGCCAACACAAACTGCCTGTAGTCTGAAACTGCTTCAATCAGCTAGTTGATGATTCTAAATTGTCCGTAGGCTGAATGTGAGTGTTTGTTTGTCTCGCTGTGTAGCCCTATGATAGACTGGTGACCTGTCAGACCCCGAACCTGCGATCCTAGTAAAGATTAAGCTGTATATAGATAGTGGTTGGATGGATAAATAGTGCTAATGCTTGCTACTTAGCATCAGATTGAAAGCTTTGTGCTTCAAAGGATGGTGACGTCGTGCTGGAAGCTTTGAAAACACCTTCTGTTTTGCTTGCTGATCTGTGACTCCTCAGGAGCTGAGGGCTGAAACAAGTGGTGAGCAAAGCACATGCCACGTCCTGAGTGACGCCTCCTCTGGTCTCTACAGTAGTAAACAGTAAGCGGCTTCACCTGGTGGAACAACCAGGTACTACAGTTGATCGCCATACATTTCCTGACATTATGTAGAGAATACAGGTTTCTCCATCTGTTGGAGCCTCAGTACTTCTTAGCCTCTAACTCTACATCTACCCTCTAACCCTACATTTACCCTCTAACGCCACATTTACCCTCAATGGTACGTTTACCCTCAAACACTACATTTACCCTCTAACTCTACATCTACCCTCTAACTCTACGTTTACCCCCTAACTCTACATTTACTCTCTAACTCTACAGTTAGAAAGGGTTCTACCAGAACTTTACTACAAAGTTCCACCTACAGAATGTTAAGGAACCGGCTGGAAGCAGAGATGCAGGTTTCTTTTTGTTTTTGATGTATTACAGAGATATTCCATTGTTAAACTGATACAGGCTCTGATCAGGACTCTGTATCAGCAGATGCTGAATACTGCAGGTTTAAGTAGGACTTTAGAAACAGGATGTTTACTTGTAATAGAGTACTTTTACACTATGGTACCTTTAGTTAATAATGTGAATACTTCTTCCTCTGCTGCAGATGTGGTTGTTTATGTGTCTTCAGGTCTTTAACCTTCACCTCAAGACTAAACAGTAAATTTGGCTGCTTGGAATTCAGGTTGTCCAGGTGAGGATGCCCAGGTTGGATTACTGACAGTCTGTCCAAACCCTGTTTACACTGTGTGTGATGTGTTTTGTGTTTTGTTTCATACAAAATGATTTTTCTCTACAAGTGTTGTCGTCTTCACAGCAAACAAACGTCCAATCAGACAGTGCTTCATTTGAATTCACTATTTTTATTTAGTCTGCAGGCTCATATTTCGGTTCACACTTCGTTAAACTTCCTGTTGTTGGCTTTTACACAATTTTATAAAGGTTAGAATTTAATTGGGTTAGTAGGAGATGTGAGGATTCATTACTGACTCAGAGCTTTATAATTTCGTCTCAGTGATGTTTGATTTCATCACATCAGGAGAAATTCAGCAAACCGTCCGAAGGAGCAGAAACTCTGCTTTGATTTCAGTGTTTGTCTGTTTAGGAGCGTTAATGGAGCAAACATGAGCTCTGATGTAGACGAGAATATGTCACTTTTTATATCTGAGATCTGTTGTCTGACTGCCAGGTCCATTTTCAAAAAGACACTGTTTATAAATGCTTGAATTAATGTTTCATGAGTTATTATTCTGTGTATCGATGCTCATTTCTGCCAGCAAAAGAAAAACTAGAGAAAAAGTTCACATGATTAAAAAAGTTACATCAGGTTTTGGATAAAAAGTCAGAAATTTTCAAGCAAAATGTAAAAAATTAAAGTCAAGGTGATGAGATTAGAAAGTCAGACTTTTTTTTGGCCATATTTCTATAAAAGTTCAAATAAATAGTCAAAATTTAAATAAAGTTTGTGATGGCAACATGAATCCGCTTCAGGGTGTTTCTTTCACATCTTCTATTCCAGGTTCTGATGTTGGAGCCGGTTTATTATCATGTTCTGTTGGTTCCGTTTGACAGTTTGGTCAGACAGACTGTAGCTGTAAAAAAAACTGAACTGAGCTGATAGAATGAACGTTGGAGGACGATGATGATGATGATGATGAAGATGGTAACGACCTGGTTCTCCTCTGGTTTATAGCACACTGAGCTGTTTTCCACTGCAGGAACTTTTAGCATGACCTGAACCTTTGTTCTGACCAGAAAAAAAAGCCTCCTGTGGAACCTCTTTCAGGAGAAAATGTGATGCTTTCGAAGAATTATTTATTAGTTCTGCAAAAAAAAACTTTTAGCAAGTGGTTCTTTAAAGAAAAATGTTGTGAAAATTGTTCTTTAAAGATCCCCTGAAGATCTTGAGCAAAAAGAAGTTCTTTAAGAAACCATTTTCCAGATCGTTCTTTGTGGATCCATCTGGTTCTGGACTGGATAATTGTTTAAATCATTTTTAAGCTGAAAATTTCAACATTAGAATTTGCATAATTTCTGGGTTCTTTTCTTTAGAACAAATTTAGTGTTTTGGGTTCTTGTTCAGACAGAACATGGTCTAAGATGCCAGTTTGGGATCTGTAAAACTGTGATGAACTTTTCTATGTTTTCTGATGTTTTATCGACCAAATGATTCATCCAGAATAAATTAATGTTCAGCTGCAGCTCTGATTTCATGCTGTTACCTGAAACCAAAGAACTCCAACAAACATGAGGAACCCTAAAAGAACCACAGAGAGTAGGTGAAGAACCAGAGAGCCTTCTGAAGAACCATTTGAGAACTGTTGTTGTTCTGAGAGTTCTCCCGGGTCGGCTTTGTTGAGGGACTCTGAAACACTGTGAGGGTCTCAATGCTGATTGTTTAAAGTCAGAGAGCACAGATGCTGATTGGATAAAGTCAGAGAGGACAGATGCTGACTGGTTAAAGTCAGAGAGGACAGATGCTGACTGGTTAAAGTCAGAGAGGACAGATGCTGACTGGTTAAAGTCAGAGAGGACAGATGCTGACTGGTTAAACATGTTTTCTGTCCTCTGATGTCCAGCAGCTTCTTCTCCTCTCTAAGATCAACAACATAAAATTCTCCAGATGTTCTAACAGAACAAACCTCCATTGTTCTGGTTCCTACATAGAACTGGACTTTATCCAGGAATTGTTGGTTCTGGTCTTGGAGGTAACATGAAGCTGGTTTGCTAGTTTATCATCCATCCATCCATTATCTATACACCGCTAAATCCTCACTAGGGTTGCGGGGGGGGGCTGAACCCGGAGAGAACCCACGCTGAGAGAACATGCAAACTCCATGCGAACTGGCGACCTTCTTGCTGCAAGGCAACAGTGCCACCAACCGCGCCACTTTCATCCCTAGTTTATCATTATTATCATTTATGTATTTTAATTTCATTGCAAAGAGAACCAGTTTGCCTCTGTTACCCAGAAGAACAAGAACTACAGCTAATTTAGAACATGACAGTGAACATGAAACTCTTTACCATCACTGTCAGTTCAAACCTCCAGATTCTTTACAGAAAAACCAGCTTCTTCCTGGTTACACCAATCAGCCCTAAACATTCAAGAAACTGGTCACCGACAGATGATGAACGCATGAATAAATGATGCAATGAAAGCTCTCAGAGACATTCCTCCGCTTCATACCTGAACAGTTCCTGCAGTGGAAAGACGTCTGTGATGACGGTGGTCATGCGTCACCACAGCGTCTTCCAGAATCAGAACCAGAACCAGCTGTACACACCTGGACGACTGATCACTGTTTCCTTCTAATAACAGACTGAACAACTTCATCTGTCAGTCACCTCAGTGATATTTTCATGCTGCTGGTTCAGATGATGGAGGAGTGGAAATGGAAATGATGAATGAAGTGGAAATGATTTCATGGAGGAAGCTGAAGCTGCTGAGTTTGAAGCTGTAGGTCACGATGTGATGCAATGGAGGATGAAGGTACAAATACAACATTGTTTTCTCATGTTGAGCGCTGAGTCGACCGTCCGCCGGGTCACTTTATTTTCTGTTTTATAAAACCAAACTGGCAGAAAGAATCCTGCGACAGAAACTGCAGCAGGAGACGAACAAATAAATACAACCATGAAACAAACTGTCTGGTTTTATCTGCAGCTTCAACAGAGACAGAGAGGATGTTACAGTGTCAGGACCGCACGGCTAATGCTAATACTAATGCTGATACTAATGCTAATACTGATGCTAATGCTAACACCGATGCTACTGTTAATGCTGATGCTAATGCTAACACTGATGCTAATGTTAATGCTGATGCTAATACTGATGCTGATATTGATGCTAATGATGCTAAGGCTGTTGAGGTGCTCTGAGTCGCGCAGCAGGAAACAAGAGGAGTAAAAAAGTAAAAAGGCGTCAAGAAAATAGAAAAGTAAAAGGTTTATAAAACTTATGAGCATGAGAAGACAGGAAGTGATGTCATGGGGTTAGAGGCGGGGTGGTGGGTGGGGTTTAGTCCTGGAGTTTAATGTTACTGTGTTAGCTTTGACAGCTGCGCCGTCTTCAGGTCACATGATGCTGCAGCACTTACACGGCTGCTTCTCCTTCTTTATGGCCACCACTCCTCCCTCCGCCTCTGCTGCCGTCTCCCCGTTGCTCGCTGTCGCCTCCGGAGGTTTGGTGGAGGTGGGTGGGGCAGTGGCAGTGGGAGGGGCTTTGGTGGTGGGCAGGGCAATGGGCGGGACTTTTTTGGTAGGTGTGGTGGTGGCTTTTGCGGCAGGAGGAGCCATGTCCACCTCCACCTCCTGTCCTGGTGATGTCTTGCCATCGGCGTCATCGATGAGTACCAGCTCCGCCTTCACGGTTCCCTGCAGCCCCAGAACCTTCTTGGTCTCATCCTCGTCCTCCACGTTCTGGTATCCCATGAACACCATGGTGACCGGGTTCTCGGCGCTGGCCTCGGCCACACTCGGTTCACTGCTCGGTTTGGCCTCCAGCCCGGTGATCTCGGCTGTAATGTGGGGTGGCAGTGGCTCGAGATTCGACTCCTCCTGGACCTCCGCTGTTGGGAGGGAGGTTGCCGCGGTGACAGTCTGTGACATCACAGACGCCTCGTCGGCTTTGTGGATGAGCTCTTCGACCTCGGAGGAGCTGAGCAGGTGAACGTCGTCGCCGTTCATCTCATGGACCACTAAAAGACAGCAAAAGGCGGGAACACGGTCACATCAGGTCACACGACTAATCTCCAGCTGAATGACCAATAGAAACAGACCACACTGATGTCACTGTGTCCTGAGTACACCTACAACGAGCCCTTTCAAAATGTAATATCTGAGTTTACGTCATATCTACAGCGTCATTCAGACTTTATGGTCCTTTTGTGTTGCTTTGTTCATTCAGAATCGATCTGTCAAACTGAGAGGACATAATCTGGAACTGAACCACTGCTGGTCAGAATGAAACCGTAGATATCTGAAACTGGAGCGGCAGGTATCCACACTTCTAACTACCAGAATCAGCAGGTTTTCACATACGAGGAATTTTAGTCGGTGTTCTGGTGCTTATGGTGCAGACTGACAAGCACAAAGAAATGAAGAAGATTTAGAAAGAAAAGCAAAAGTCAAATAAACAGCAAGTGTTCCAACACAAGAGGAAACCATTGTAGGAAATACAAGGTTTTATAACAGATTATTTACATTGTGGATACATGTGATGAAAAACACATGGAGGTCAAAGTCATGATGAGATTTTCTTTCTGACTGAATTGGACTCTGCAGCACAGACTCACTCCGGATGTCAAACGTTAAAACAACAGCGAGTCAAACCAGCAAAACTACAAAAAGAAGTTTCCATCAGCTGGAGACTCAAGTTACCTTTATCAGGTGTGAACCAAACCAAAGAGTGTCTCACCTGACCAGGTGAGTTTCTATGGCTGTAAGTGAAGGAGAGTCATGCATGTCTCAGAGGTTGCTTTAGGAGAAGTCCGAACCACAGGGCTGCTGAGAACATTAAGAACTAGCAGAGAACCCGAACAGAACCTTCGGCCTCCACAATAATCAGCAGGTGACTTCTCATAAAGCACCTGATTATGTTGTTGTCACCTTTCTGATCGTCTTCGTACACTTTGACGCCCTGCCGGGACAAATCGAGCGGCAGCCGGGTCTGACTGGACAGAACCCTGGTTTCCCCAGTTAGCCTGTCGCGCTCTACGGTGATCTCCACCGAGTACATGGCTGTTAGAGGACACACAGGTCAACACAACAGACACACAACAGACACGCAACACTGCTGAGCCCTAAACAGAGGTTGAGACCACAAGAACATGAAACAGATAAACACAGGAACTGAAGCTGGAAGACTCTCAGACAGACAACAGACAGACAGACAGACAGGAAACAGACAGACAGACAGACAGACAGACAATGGACGGACGGACAGACAGACAGACAGTAAACAGACAGACAGACAGACAGGTGTTAGAGACAGACAGGTGCTTTAATGGCATCTTCTACCTACTCTACAGGTGCTAAACAGAGTTAAAACCTTCATTTATGAGTTAGACTCTGGATGTTTCTGCTCTGAATCCTCAGATGTTCTGGCTCTGCTCTCATCAGTTTCTGATGTTTCATCAGGACAAAAGCTCATCAGCAGCAGCTTCCAGGATTCTTCCATTATTAGTACAGACAACCTGTGAACTCCCCCACATCTGTACAACTTTGGAATGGTTCAAACTCATGGATGTAAACAGTCACTGGGACATTGAACTGGGTGTTATCTAGCTAAGGAAACAAATTCATGATCTGCCCCAGAGGTCACCTGCATATGGTGGATGTATTAGCGGAGCACATGTAGGAGGAGTTACAGAGAGTCAGGATTTACTCTGCATCACTCAACGAACAAAACACAAATACATCTGCTGGCACCTCAAGCTGAACACTCACTGTCCCTGAACACATCGTAGCTGCTCTTCAACCAAGAAATAAACACCTCCAGTTTGTCAGTATATGTTCTAAATGTTCCTCAGAGCTCTGAGTGGTTTCACATGCAGATTTTCAGGCTGAATGAACCATAAACCAACAGAACCAGCTGCTACCGGCAACAGATGAAATCACGGGAACCTGCTGGTTTCTGCTGAGACGCTGAGAACAGAGCAGTTGCACATTCAGAGGATTCGTGAGAATAAATCAGCTGCTGGTCCAGAACCAGAACTGTTGAGGAATAGAACCTAGAGCAGGTAGCTGCTGTTTCTAGATGATCCAGATATTGGTGTTATAAAAGCAGCTCTACAACCTGGCAGCAATGATTCCACCTGTTCTCCGTATACAGATTACCTCTGGGCCAAATCATGAACTGGTTTTCACTGCTATGCAGATGACACCCAGTTATACATCCCAGAGCATATGGGTACAATGGCTGGATCCAGTATGATGCCCTACTTTGCAGAAATTAAAAACAAAATGTCCAAAAATCTCTTTTAGTTGAATGAGTCCAAATTAGGATAATGAAAATAAACTCCTGTGGCCCCAGAATCAGCATTACCATTAACTGGTCCATAACTGAGTTGTTATCTCTAACTCTGATTGTTCCTTTGACACTTAGGCGACTAAAGCGGTCGGTCTCGTTTGAGACAGCCAACTGACAGGTCAGTCCTTCCTTTGCAGGTTAGAAAACTCATTAGTGCTTTTATCTGTTTAAAGCAGGTAGCTTCATCTTTTAACCAGCAGAGAAAACATCTGAAGACTGCAGCTAAAACTAGACGCTGTTGGAAAAAAACACACTGAGAGAAGAACCCACATTAACCTGACACTGCTGCTCTTCTCTTGACAGATGCTAACATGCTTTACTTTCAAAGCCTTGACTGTTTGTTCTCCTGCCTTCACCTGCCGTCTGACAACTTCCTGTGATCTGATCATTGTTGATGGCTCCTAAAACTGTCGCTTCTAATGGTGTAGTGTTGTTAAGGCATTGTAAACGTGTAGCTAACGTAATCAAAATGTAGCTAACGTGTAGTCGAGGTATAGTTAAAGTCTAGTTAACCTGTAGTTAACCAGTAGTTAACGTCTGTATGGACTCAGGTGCGTTTATTTTCTCCGTCACATCTGATTGGTCTGTTCAGACTCACCTCTCTTCATTTCCTCCGTTGAGTTTCTCACTTTGTTCATTCGAGGACTTTTGTGAACTTTGACCTCTGCAAGGTCTCATGAGAAAAAGGAGGCGGAGACAGAGTAAAGACATCACAGTAATCGGACTACTGCATTCTGATTTAAATAATTGGATTACTGTAATCAGACTACAGTAGTGTCCCTAATATTACAGTATATTAAAATACAGCACACTCATGTGCAGAGTAATCTAAACTGAGTAATCTGATTACTACAGTTTGACTAATGTAATATAATAATAGTACTGTGAATTACTGTGGGCTGATTATTGTCATCCGACTACTGTGATCTGATTTAGTAATTGCATTACTATTATCTGACCATTGCAGAGTCACTAATATGACCCAGTTCTTGTAATCTGATTACAGTTAGAACACACAGTAGAGGGAGGTCTCACCTTGAATCACCTGAACGGGTGGTGCTGCTGTGTCCTGCTGATGGACACTGTGATCTTTGACCTCCACAGTTGGTTTACCTGAGCTCACCTAGAGGCACAAAAAGGAAGTTCACCTCCACAATAAAAGCCTCTATTGATGAACTGCAAACACAGAAACCTAAAACTATCTGCAAAATAAAACGGTCTTCCCCCAGAAGGTGCATAATCTGACTAATGTAATCTGGCTAATGTAATGTAGCTAATGTAATCTGACTAATGTAATCTGATTGATATATGTGTGTAAATCTACTCACACTAGTGTGTGTTATGGTCTCACACATAACTCCAGTCTCCAACCTGACCAGTTCCTGTTCCAACCTGCAACTCAGAAACAAAAAAACAAACAAAGAAATAAACATAGACATACAGTAAATTATTTACTTATTACACACAAATCAATTTCTACATTTCAAGTAATAAATCAGTCAGGTTGGTCCTATTGGTCAGCAGGCTTCTGGTATAATCAGCGAGCGTATTCTCTAATGCCTTAAACCTGCATTCTCTGATCAGATGAGATTAAATTAAATCAGATTAGCTCTGATTATTTCTGATTACATCAGAATAGTTCAGAATAAATCTGATTACACCACATTAAAAGAGATAAAACAAATAATTCCAAATTCATTCAGATTAAATCAGACACAATCAAATTACAGAAGTTTAAATAAGATTAAATCAGATAAATCAGGTTAAAATCAGATTAAATCAGACCTGTTGATGGTCTCCTCAAGGGTCCTGGTCTTGGCCTCATCCTGTTCCAGTTGTCTCTTGACTTCTTCGTGTTCTGGACCAGCAGGGGGCGCTCCATCCAGCAGCCAACGCTCCCTTAGGGCTTTCGACTAAACACAGATGTTCCTTTTAATAATGTGATGTGATTTTAATGTGTGATGTAAACACTATGTGCAGGCAGAAGTTTGCAGACTCATCCAACCACGTGGGGGCAGCAGAACAAACTGTTCACACAACACTAAAACATCATCGCATTTAGGTTGATCAAGGAACATTTAGTTCCTATTCAGTATAGACTTTCACGGCCAGCAGTTACAGCATCCTCTCACTGATGTGAATTACTTGTGGGGTTCCACAGGGTGCTATTGTTGGTCCTCTATAGTTTCATGTTGGAAAACAGCTCAGATAGAGAAAAATATTTAATGTGAGCTTTTTCTGTGACCTGATATTTTATTGTTTTAGTTGGTTCCATTTAAACTTCTTAGTAAAATCTGATTTATGCTGTTAACAGAAAACACAACACGTCAATACAGCTCTGCACTGACACTGTGATACTTTGACAGCAGAAGAACGCAACTGGATGGTTTCTTTTTAAATTTACATTTATTCAGTAATAAAGTTGTTGTGGTTGTAGTGCACAGAAATTACTGTCCAATTTATATCTCGACTTCTTCCAGCAGCAGCATTTCTCAGCTTAATGCTGAATGACTTCAACTGAAGAAGACATTTGGACCATTTAAAATACGTTACGTGACAAAAAAGTTTTTGTCACAACCTTCAGAAAAGAAAATCATTTTAATTTCTGAAGGTTGGTGTTGACAGAAAAAGTTCAGCGCATTTAAATATGTTTTGAACTGAGATAAAAACTGAAAAAACACTGCAATTCATTATGACATTGCTCTAATAAATTAATAATTTCACATATTTGTAGCTGAAAAGCTGTATAATAATAATAACTAATAACTAACTAATAAATGTGAGAGCTGCATCTGTTTGATACAGGCTTTAGTTGCAGTTCATCAGCAGCTTGTTTACAGCAGGGGGCGCTGCAGGGGACGGACAACACCATCACCAGCATTAATAAAATCTGTTGCATAAGGAGCCTGTTTCCATCTCACATTAAACATCTACGTGTCCACCATTCACTTGGTTCTTGTCCGTTGCCTGGTTTTATGTTCAGATTTGAGATGTTGGCTGATCAGAGCAGCTTTGAACCAGCAGACGTGTTTGTGTTGAATGTGTTGCGATCAGCTGCGAGTTATTTAAAGCGGAGTCTGAAACAGTCGCAGCTGATCTCAGAGCTGCTGCAGATATTTTTACTCTGCAGCTGTTCGCAGCCTCATAAAGCTCCAACTGGCCTCACCTCTGGATCGACACAATGACCGGCCACAGAGTGAAAATAACCCAGTCTGTCTGTGTTAGCCTTAGTGTTGTTTTTGTGGATCTTTTACTGCATTTTAGGGCAGAAACCAACAACCATGTTCACCATTAGTAATTTACTGATTAAACTGATCAGCTGTTTGGTCTAAAATGTCAGAAATTGGTAAAAATGTGGTTCAGAGTTTTCTCAAACGTCTTGTTTAGTCCAAAGATCTTCAGTGTGCCGTCACAGAGGAAAGAAACCAGAAAACATTCACTGAAGAAGCTGAAATCACAGAATTTAGACTGTCATCAAAATACATTAATTGAATAGCTGACAACTGACCGATTAATCTTGCAGCTCTTTTGTGTTTTTTATTGAACATTTTCTAAATTCTGTTTTTAAAGCAGTTCATTTGATGGAGACTTCTGTCCAAATTTAGTTACTGTCGTTTGTTTACCTGCTGAGTCTGACATGGTTCAGATCTTAATGCTCTTTCATCTAAACTTTGGCCATGTTTCAACATCTGCTACACAGAAAAATGTTCTACAAAATTGAATATAAGCTTTGTCTCCTCACAGATTGATGCAGTTTCAACAGCTTTAAGATAACTGCAGAAACTGAAGAGTGAAGTTAATGTTTAACGTTTCAGAGCTGAGCCGAGAGCAGCTCTGATAATCAGTCAACACTTTGAAACACTTTGTTTTTGGTCAGAACCTCCAGAACGTGGATCCCGTTTGTGTTTGTGGGACTGTAGAGCTGCTGAGACTAAACGAGACGTCAGCAGAGTCACACTGGATCTTCTCTAACTACACAATCAGCAAATCAGCACATTATCTGGAACAAAATGACAGAATTATGGAAGAATGAAAATCTTTGTTGGCTTCACCCAAACTGATTTAGATTAGTAGCAAACTAGAAGAACTGCAGCTCAGTTTCTGTAGCACTATTCACTCACAAACCTGCGACTGTTCAGTGTTTTCAGCAGCTTCCAGCTCGACACAGAACAAACCGAAAATGCTGCTGATGGTCTTTAAACACAGAGAAGCTTTAACATGGACAGTTTAAAGAAAAGCGTGTTGTTGATGCAGTTTGACGTTTCTCTCAGTCAGTCACAGGGTTAGCAGCACGTTCAGCCGCCTGCTGTCTGGAACTCAGTGTCGACACTTTCAAAAAGCCCATGTTCTGCACATTTACAGCTCTATAATGTTCATTTGGGGGTCGGTTGCAACCTGTTCACCTGTTTCAATGCTCAGAAACACATTATTTTTGTCATATTGTTAATTGCTGTAGCTCCTCTTCCTGAATGAATTTTTCAAATTATCCAGAAGTTTACAAAAACAATTAAAACCTCAGTGCTTCGACCTGAATTGTGGACTGCAGCATAGAAGGATTTGTATTTTAGTAGGTTCAAAAGAGCATATTGTGTATTGAAAGCCATCTGTATGCAGATAAATAATGCATGTTTTCTAGAGATACATTCTTCAGTTGCAGCCACTAATGAAGGATCTGAGATGTTTAAACACCTTTAAACAGACGGATATAAAACCAGCTGAAACTGTGAGTTAAAGGACCACCATGAACGAAGCTGAGAGGATCTGAACGTTGACCTCTCACCTTCAGGTGCTGCAGAGCTCTCCGGTCGTCCTCCAGCTGACGCTTCTTATTCTCCACCTCCGTCTGCCATTTCCTTCTCTCCTGAGGCATGATGGGAATTGCAGTCACACATTTAGGCTGTCACCAGTACAGTACTTTCAGTTCACTCTGATTGACCTTCTACTAACTTTATCTTCTACTAAGTAAAAAAAATTATAGCAAATAAATGGATCATTTCCAACTTTTTGTTTGAACGCCATCATCTCAGTTTTCTGTAATCAACTTCAGTAAACTGTGAAATCTACTTTAAACTACCCATGTTTTTATTTAAAGAACAGAAATCATCCATCGTTTCACAGCAGAAACAAAAACAGAATGAAAACAGCAAAAGTGAAACAGCTTTGTGTTGTTTGCTCTCCCCCCTCACCATTTACCTGCTGGCCTTTCAGAGGAGCCCAACCCTCATGTTGGGAACCTCTGGACTGAGCTGCCTGACCGTATTTAACCAATGGTATAACCAGGTCCAACAGGGGGCTCAATAAGCTCAACCTTTGTTTGAAAAAGGCTTGACAGACTCTGCATGAATAAAGTTTGACAGTTTTGAATGTCAGGGAGGTTCTTTGGTTCTCCAGGGAAGGAGGTTGTGAGTCTTTTGGTTTAAGGTTCAGAACAGATGCCAGTTTCACCTAAGAAGGTAAAACTTCAGTGGTACTATTTTATTTGTTCCAACAAAAGCAGTAAAAAATGGTTTCTGTATCACAATCAAGTGAACTCAGCAGAATAGTATAACTATTGTCTTGATAGAAAACAAATCTTCACCCAGTCTCAAAAATCTCCATCTTGGTCTCCTCAGACCAAAGAACCTCTTCCCAGGTGACTTCAGAGTCTCCACATGTCTTCTGGTGAACTCTAGTCCCGATTTAGTCTGAGCTTTTTCCAACAAAGTCTTTCTCTTTGTCTCCCATAAAGCTTTGATGGTGAAGAACAGACAACAGCTGTTGTATCAACAGTCTCTCCCATCTCAGCTGCTGAAGCTGGAAACTCCTCCAGAGGAGTAATAATAGTCTTGGTGGTCTCCTTCACTAGTCTCCTTCTTGTACCTCCCCCAGAGGAGTCATAGGAGTCTTGGTGGCCTCCCTCACTAGTCTCCTTCTTGTACCTCCTTCAGAGGAGTCATAGGAGTCTTGGTGGCCTCCCTCACTAGTCTCCTTCTTGCTTGGTCACGCAATTTCATTATATTGCACTGTGACCCTGTAACTACCTCTAAGCTGCCACACTGAGGTGATGATATCAGAACATATCTCCAGGTGGCACCAATAACTGAACTGTTATTGCAGCTGAGGACAACAGAGATGATGTTGTGGACCAATCAGAGCAGCTCTTTTGGGGAAGTGGAAGCTTCAGATATCTGCTGCTCCTCTCATATAAATGACATCACGTGGAAATTTACATACGTGTATGATGCTACATTCACTGACTTCAGGTAAACTGGACTCACCGCAATGAGCTGAAGCCGATCTTGTTGACAGACAACTTCATTGATCCTAAGAGACAGACAGACAGACAGGCAGACATTTTTAAATTCAGATTTTAAACAGTGAACTTATTAATTCATTTCCAAACAGATGAACACATTTGTTAAATCAATGATCAGTAGTTTTAGTTCGGCTGATCTACAGGATTCATCATCTTTCTCTGTCTGCTTCCATAAAAACATTTCTGTTGGTCCCATAACCACAATTAACAACTGACACTTGTTTTACACAATTTCTGAACATTTTATAGTTTTATAGTTATCTTACTGCATCTTTACAAATGGCAGTTCGATCCCTCGCCCCTCCGCAGTCGAAGTGTCCTGAGGCAAGACACTGAACCTGAAGCTGCTCCTGATGGCAGGGAGCACCTTGCATGGCAGCTCTGCCACCATTGGTGTATGAATGT